TATGCAAAACTTTCCATAACTTTCTACATTAAAAGATACAGACGTTTAATGACTTGGTTTTAAAATTATTAAGACTTTTTTTCCAACAGAACACAACAATCAAGGAATTCATGATGACATAATTAAAATAGATGCAAATGGATATTATTAGTAATGCATGAAACTTATATTTATAACTTCATAATAACCAAAACACATTGGGAATGTACAAATTCTATTAAATGAAGTAGATTTGGAATTTACACCTTTTCCAATAGATATACCATTATAAATCTTGGGAGTCTGTGGCTAAAAACTTTAGAGGCAGCATTAGATGAGTATGAAGGCTGACATTCTACAAATCTGAATCATTAATGTATAAGATTTTGTGTAGAAGAAAGAAAATTCCATGTTTCCTGGACTAAACTAGACTATTTCCTTACATGTGAATTCAGAAGCAACTAAATATTAATTGCTTCTTTTTCTCACAGGTTAGTTGCAAAGTGTCCCAGTTCATTCATCTTTACCTGATGGGCTGTAATTACTTTTGGATGCTCTGTGAAGGCATTTACCTACACACACTCATCGTGGTGGCCGTGTTTGCAGAGAAGCAACACTTGATGTGGTATTATTTTCTTGGCTGGGGTAAGTGCCATTATACACATCTGCTGATTCAACTGATTAAGAAAGCTTTTGGAAGATGCAAGGTTCCTTTGTAATACAAATATACGAATGATTAATCATTTTTAAATAGTATCAGGTGATTAACTTTTGCTTATTGCTTAAGTTGAAATATTTAAAGCAAAGTATCACTGACTCATTGTTTTCAGTAGTCACAAGTCAATTAATAATATGCTTTTTCTATTTAATATTCCAATGAATAAGTGTATCTTGGCAGAATATGTAGTGATTCAAATAATGGAATTAGAACCATGAGTTAGGGAACTAGTCTTTGCAATGTTCCAAATTTTCTTCTTTGTCGTGTGTAAAATGAACGCATTGGGCTTAAATAGCTTTGAAGTTCCATTCTAAAAATATTTTTTTAAATTGTCATTTTATAAGAGTAATTGAATCAGTAATGGAATAAAGGCATGCAAAAGATCTGTTTTTTGCACACAATCTCCTGACATGATGTTATTCACAAAGCAAATGGAAATATATTCTGGCACATTAAAAAAAAACAACTAGAATAATGCAAAGTGTAAAATGCAGAAAATGAGTTCAACAGGTCTAGTTTCCAGAAACAAAACTAAAATTTCAGTTATCTATCATCTATCTATCATCTGTCTAGATTGAGAGATA